GCTCTCGGGCTCTGTCAAGGGCGAATTTTCGGTGCCTTTACAACTTCCAGTTAGGTGCCACCCAGCCGACCCCTTTCTTAGGCTCCTACATTCACTCTGTGTGTGGAGTGAGTTTCTCCGTGCAGTCCCAGGCAAAGGCTAACGTGGGACAGCGTCCGAAGGCCTACGAGTGCCCTGGCTAATAACACAAGCCAAATACTGCGTACGGACAGCACAGAATACTAGTACGGAGTACTGTGGTCCCCAGCCCACCGTGCCGTACCATGGTGAATCGCCGTCGCCGAGTCTTTGCTTCAGGATGCTCCAGTGTCACCAGGAAGGCTGATTGACGGTGGTTAGGCCCAAGTGTGGGATGGCTACAACGCTGAGTCCACCGACTCGATGGCTTATGCGGTGTCTGGTGTTGGCTGATTCCACAGAAGAGTCGTCATTGAACGCAGGAGTCGAGTCCAGGTTTGCGGCCTGACCATCATGTGTTGCCGTCTGGTCTGGTAGGTCCATTGAATTGGGCAGTGCTCGTACTCAGCACCCAAGACCGCCATCATGTTATCATGTACCACTGTTGAGCGATACTCTGCGTTACTTCGGCCAGAGCCAAGAATACCAGCTCCCGTCTCCCTAATTTACCGCGGTGCTGTTAGGCCACGACGCTGACACAAGACTGACTAAAGCCACGCCAGGATGACCCTGATCTCCAAGTACCGCGCCACCGACCCGTGGCGGAAAGAGTACGAGACCCTTTCCCTGATATTGAGTAGTACCGTACGGGGTACATTATCTAGGTACGTGTCTGTGAGGCAGCCCAACCATGCTGTGAGCTGAGTTGACAGTAGGAGGGATTCCGTCAGGATCCGATGCCTGTGCCTAAATCGCACGATGGTCATGGTACGTTTGCGGGCCTCTCTCTCTTGATGAATTGTACGTCTGGCAAACATGGCTATTCAAAGCTTAGGAAGTGCTTTGTGCTGAATCGGCAGGATGCAAGTTCTGATTGGTCTCCAAACCCAAGCGCATCTGTCGTAGTATGCGTGCAGACTCTAATTAGCACGAAACATGATTCCGACAAAGCACCGCCCTATGCTCGCCTTCGCGTTTTGCTGAGGGGAGTCAGTCTCTGTTGGATTGTCCAGTCGACCTCCAACTTCCGCAGACGGAATGGCCGGCGCTGCAACGGCGGCGATGGCGGCCTCCCCAGTGGCGACATCTAGATTGAATGGCAAATATGATGCGCATTGAGGATGTGGCTGAGCGCTCGACGACCCTTCATGGTATTGTCAACGCCGTAATAGTGGGCGATTCTTGGTCAACCATGTTCTTGGCGTGGCTTTCTCAACATGCCAATGCGCAGAACGCCTACTGCTACTGTTGCCACAGCCAGTTGTCCGGAAATTCTCAACAAGGGCGGGTAGACTAAATACGGCCTTGCGTGATGCGTGCTTCATGATTTGCAAAGTCCCATCACTCAGCCTCAGAAAAGAATAAGTGGTCGTTGCATGAATATTCAGTCATGCTCATATTAGCGCCTTTGTCTCTGGCTGTTGCTATGAGTCTATGACCGCCTTGGCGTACGGTCATAGCCATCGATAAGTAGTACCAGGGTAGATGTTCAAGGCGTGTCCCTTGCATCAACAGCAATCAGTCCAGCGGTGGTGTGCCGTGAATGTGGCTGTTCTCGGTGCGTTTCAAGGGCTTGAATGTGGCCTCCTTTTGTTTGATTCACAACAGGAAATGGCCACCATCTGCCAACTCTCCAAGGAGCCTGCCAGCCGCGTGTCATTCATCGATGAAGTCAATCGATAAGTCGATGACAGAGAATCACGGATAGGGGCAGAGGCAGAAGCAAAGCAGAAGCAGAGGCGGCCGCATAGTGACATCGACACGATTCACATCCTCAACGCGACAAACCGGGAGAGGGAAAAAGTCTCCCCGTCACTCCAGACGCTCCAACCTGGACATAAGCGGGCCGCTAAATTCAGCTCAGATCCGTGGCTGCAGCATCCTGGAGCTATCCTGGAGCTATCCCGTCCCAAGAACACACCTTAATCCCCTTAAGCTACTGCTGACACTCTCCAGCCCCAGCGGTCTGTCAGGACTAGTTCAGAATGACTGACCAGGCAGGGCAGCAGGAGCATGGAAGAGAAACATGAGCATCTTTGGTAAGCCCCGCTGGCATCTCATCGATGGTGACGATGGTGGACTCATCGACTCGATCCCTGTTTTTTTGGCCACCTGCTCCTCTTCAAGCCAGTGTGGTCGATTGGGAGACAAAACACTTCAGATTGTCGACTCGCGCATTGGAATCGCGGATTCGAATGCCACGAGGCTCCAGACGTCATCGCACGGGGAGGAGGAGCTCATTCAGTCCGTGCTAATACTCCGTACATATATAACGCAACCTCCTCCCGTGGACCCATAGCAATCAAAAAGTTATCAAAAAGGCAAAACTCCCGTTTCAACCGCCTACCACATGAGTCCCTGCAGAAATTAATTCATTAGCGATACCATCACCTACTCCGCAACATCCACCACAAGTCCGCGCACAGCAGCCTGTCGCCAAAATGCCTCAAGCTCCGATATTCAATCAATATTCAAGACGGCTTGTCTGTATCCCCACATGGCTTTGGTTATTGACTGTCATGTCTGTGATGATGATATCAGGGACCAGAGGCCCAGGACTGCCGGAAGCACCATGATGAACATTCATTCCATGAACCAAGGACCAATCAGCACATATCAGGCCTTTGGCGTCTGCAGCACAGCCTCACTGTTCAATATTTGTGTCTATCGTGGAAGCGTCAACGCTAACAAATCCAACCTTTTCAGCTCGCACTTGTACTCCGCACCAGTCAACTGCATTTGCAAAACCATGGTCCATGAGGCTGCCGTGTCTTGCCGTGGCAAAACGGCAACCGAGACTCCGCTGGGCTTCCTTACAAAATGTGTCATTCGACCTATATCTACATACATACGTGTTCGGGTCCAGTTGAAGGTCTGGCAGGTCCCAAATCTTGCCTGGGGCGATATCCTTGTGTGATGTCTCATGTTTTGGGTGGCACACGTATGTACAAGCATACCGGAGTATGTACGTATGGATGTGATGACACGCCGCACAGCTGACATGTCGTACGTTCGCGTCGCACGTTGAAAGTGTAAAAAGATAACAGCACCATGCTTGCTTGCAACTCCACCTGGCGCGAATGGACTTTTCGGCAATATGGCATCTCGCAACAGCCACCAGACAGCCAATAAAATACAACACAGTACGTAGCTGAAAACACAGTCCTCAGTGCCACCATAGTACGGAGTAGTAGACATGGTAATGAATGAGCGCCTGGCTCAGTACTATTCAATATCCGGATTCGTTCCATCTTTCTCCCGCTTCCAAACGCCTTTATTTGCCCCCGAGTCCTTTTGTGTTGCGTCCTCCCCCCTCCCTATCTTCTGCATACATAGTCAATCGATATCAATTGCCTCTTTCCTAATCCGGCCCAGTCTGAGTGCTCAGCCTCAATGCATATACTACTACATGCTTCCCGCAGCAAGCGACTTCACCGGGCACAAGTTCATACTACTATTTGCTACGCAACAATGATGCCCAGCAAACAAGGTGGCCGTTTTGAAACGGATGCCTTGTTTCATTGTAGCTTAGCTAGACGAGCCCGAAAAGAGTTTAGACGCGAATGGTTGGCGATGCCTTCACGTGTAGTACTTTAAGGTACTTGCGGAGAAGAGTCGACAAGGACCACTTTATAAGGCTGTGTTGGTCTTGGCGGAGAGCGGCGGTTGTTTCTTGATACTAGAATCAAAGCGTGCATGTTTCGAACATTTTCATTCCGTTGTAGCATTCAAAGCGGTGAGGGCAGGCACCATACCTTGACTCCATGAGATAGATGTCTCTGGTACACGTTGCTTTGCCTCTTTTCTTTTTTTTCTTTTTTTTTTTTTCCTTTTCGGACGGGGCAGGGATATACTACCAAATACTTCCCAGCATGAGCACAGCTGTCATCATGCCATCACTTCTTCCTTTCCTCCGGAGTCCAAAGTAACCTGATATTCTTCGGATACCACCCTCGTGTCTGCCAGCAGTGCCACAACACATCTCCCAGTCGTTCCGATACACCTTGTTACCGTCCATCTAATCTTGCGTCGTGGGTCCTGTTCCAAATCTCCAGAAGAGCAAACTCCCAAGTCTTTCACCAGGGACCAATATCGATCCCGGCTTTCATGTGTGTTCGTGTGTGTCTGTCCTAGTTTTGATATCCCAGCGTGTGTGTTTCCATGCCTCCTTTGCTTTCCGAGGATTTTGCCAATCCAGTCGACCCGGGAATCGGCATCCAGTTCGGATAACGGACCCGGAGACACATGTAGTGACGGGATTGCAGAAGAGGAGAACCGAGGGCGCAGTGATCTAAGCCACCGCCGAGCCACGTTGGTTGCGGTGGATATGTAGTGATACAGAGGTCATGGCTGCATCAATGTTGTTGGGATGTTAGTTTTGGAGGTGGGATAGTTACATTCATGGCTTCGACTCTCGAGTGTTTATTTGAACGGCAGGCATGCAAGATAGCGTAGTTTGGGTTGCAATATGTGACGTGTGCTGGTGGCCGCATGCCATCAAACATGTACATGAAACAGGTATGTAGATGTGAACTGTATTCACGCCAAGTTGCTGCTCATTAAAGCTGCGCAGAGAGAACGCTGACGAGAGATGGCATGGAATTGTGTGAATGGCCTCAAAATTGAGTACAGCGTCGGCTATCACTCTGGTCATATCGCAGGTGCCCCTTCCCGTTCTCGCGACAGTTGAGGAATCACTCGGAAATAGGGGTCATAGCATATACAGGATACCAACTAAATCTTGAATGTTGATAAGTGATGTTGCTGCTCACTCACGCACTACATCATTTCTAGCACATAAATTCCAAGAGTTTTGAGTATATTCCGTATGCCGGACCGTAGAGAGACAGCCGCAATCCCCCTTCCATGATCGAATCATCGAATCACCTCTTCCCCAGATCAACATCCCTAGCCAAAACCATATCCCCCTCATCCTCGCATTTCGCAACGTCAACACCCAAGAATTTTCCAACACCGACTCTCATAACACCCCTCCAAAACCCCTCCACGATCTCACTCAAATCCCCGCCCGTCTGCTTGAAGTCTGGAAAAGCATTGATTTCCAACAACCATGTCTTTCCACCCTGGTCAACCATGAAATCCAGCCCAAACACCTCAAACGCATTCGGCAACGTTTGGAAATGAACCGGCATGGCCCGAGCGGCTGCCTCAAATACCTCACCCGTCACGCTGCAAATCTGTTCAAATATACCAGAGAGCTGCGTCTGGGGCAGCGGCAGGTCCCAGAAACGCCGGACCGAGTTCTCGTTGGGCGATTCCTGGAGGCATGTGTTTGTAAGGAAGGATTCGATGTCGTCGGGCGATTGCCAGGGACAAGAGTAGGTCTTTGCGGCGAAGAGGGCGAGCATATGTTTGTAGACATGGATGGTGAGACTGCCTGTGCAGAGGACATAGGTCCGGATGTGAAATTTACGGTCATCCAAGAGAAGCGGTGGGTGGATGTAGGGTTGGGCGACAAAATGACGGAGGTGAGAGGTAGTGATGTAGTCGCCGCCTTCGCCGTGGGTGTCTTGGTAGTGAGTATAGTCCTCGTCGTCGTCGCTGTCAGGGCGGTCTGCTTCCCAACGGTCAAAGATGTCTTGTAGTTCTTCCATTGTGCTGAATAGACGAATCCCCTGCCCTCGGTCGCTCATTCCGGGTTTCAAGATCCACCATTCCCTTTTTGACGGATCACTTCCGTCCATTTCAGCGTTGCGGTCCATGCTCTCTCGGAGATCGAAGGCCTCGACCAGTGCGTCGTCTAGAAACTCGGCGTAGTCGACTTCAAAGGATTCGCTTCGTTTGACGTGCTTTTTGAGCGGGGAATCAGGGTTCTTCGCAACCCAGTGATCTACAGTTGCCGAGAGATAGTGCTTGCGGATCAAGGCCTTGCGGATCATATAGCTGTTTATCAGACACGATGTCGGATGCGTTGCCGCAAACTCGAAATCAATGGATTCGTAGGGCGTGATCTGTACTACTTTAGACTCCGGAGAGTCCAAAAACTTGGCCATTGAAAAGTCATCTGTCATCGAAATATCCGTGACGAGCTTGACCAAGCCTCGTGGAAATATGGCATTCAGTGCAGTGACAATAAGGGGCTGCACATAGGGATCTTCGTAGGCAATGATGGCTTGAAAAGCTGCATCTGCACTTGTCGCTTCACTATCTTGCTTTGAGTTTTCTCTGAGTGGCAATACTTTATAAGAACTAAAAAATAACACCATGGTAAGAGTACTGCTCAAGAAGTCTATGGACCAAGTATGCAAAGTGCATGATGTACATGTTCAGAGTTTCGCCTCTTGTATAGCTCATCGTCTCTATTTGTGTACGGCCCGAAATCCAAAACGAAGAAGGGAAAAAAAGAAATTCTATAAGGAGTGTTGACTTACGACCCAAACTCAAACTCCGTGGCGGCGGGTACAGGGTGTGAGATTGCAAAGTTGGCTTTCATTGGAGTTATGCTTTTTCAAAACTTGTCAGCTTTCTAGGACATGACGTAATATTAGAGAATTGGTCCTCTTACCTTGTGTTCCCGTCTCGAATAATTCGCCCATCGTTACCGGGACCAGACTCTTCTACACTCTTGTAAACATCCGCCATCCTCGGAGCCCACTTGAAATGCTTATGCTTGTGTCCCTTCTTCTCCTGTAAAGTCGACCCGTTATCAATTTCACCCTGCCTAATTCGAGCCTCTTCTTCGTCAGCGTCGCCTGTATCACCATCAATCTCCTGGAAGCAGCTTCCTTCTTTCCAGTAATTCTGCAGCATATCCGCCCAGAGTGTCTTGTGCTCCTCGACTCCCTCTACCAGCGGGACATTGACGCTATACACATCAACGCTTTCGTCCGTGGGCCACTGCTTGTATAGAGCTTCTATAACCCGGACACCATGGCGACAGGCAGCCTCAATAATAAGAGGGTCGTGGTTCCTCGAGAAGAAGGCGAAGCTGAGAGCAATAGCCTTCCTTCTGCAGACAGCCGCCTCCAGTGCAGCACCCAGTGTCCCAGAGCTCAGAGCAAACACAGACGTCGTATTTCGCCCATAGTTGGGTCCGCTGATAACTAGGTCGATTGGGCCTTTATCCTGAAAGAAGTGGTACAATCCAATCTGGACACATGATGCCGGCGTCCCATCAATAAGAACCCATTCGTCGGCATCAGCTGCCGTAGAGGGCAATTGACGTGTCGTTCCCTCATTGTCCTCGCCGTGGATGTTGGATGAAGGCGTGTAGTACGTGGGTTTAAGAGTTTGCCCAATCATATGGGCTTTGCCGATCCATGAGCGCTGGGTATGAGGCAAGCAGACTGATACGATGTGCCCTGCATCCTCCAGATGCTTCACAAGACAGCGAATGTATGGCGAGGAGTGTGATGATGGTGGTCCATCGTCGTTAGTGACTAGGATATGCATGGTCAAGACCGAAGATCCAAAACGTGGTAGTATTTATCCCGTGGCCTCGTCTCGAAGAGTCAGCAAACCCAATGAGCAGCCCAAGACGCCAGAATAAATCCAAGAAATCAAAATTTAGAATGAGAATGACGCTGAATTCATAAAATGCCTTGACTCCTGCCTATGGTATTCGACAATGGCGCAATTGAAGTAGTAGCAAGAATGGTGGGTGAAGAAGGGCGGGCCATGTCTACAGAGAACGACATGAGGGGCAGAAAAGTCAAGTCCGTTTCGGCGTGGGGCAAAAACTTCCGCGGCTTTTATCCGCCGCGATGGTGACTACCAAAGTCAATATAGCTGCATTGTTTGGCAGATAAAGCTTTCTAAAGAAATAACACAGACCACAAGGAGTAACATAAACTGGACCCGTGCAAGGGTGTTTCCTCGGTTGATATTAAAACTGAGTAACACATTTAATTTTGAAAACTTGTAAATCTATGATGCCTTTCTCGGAACTGAGCATTCTTGCCGCATAGCTTCAAATATCCTGTCCCCTTCCAAACGCCTTGATAGAATCGAAAACCTCGTTCATTCCAGGTCAGGTATAAAAAACAGTCCGGTAATCCAGGATTGCGAAGGAAAATAATCGTCCCGTCAGCACGACACCATCCTCCAATACAATGACTCATTCTGCAGAGCCATGCCAAACCGTGACAAAAATCTTTGAATACTCTCCAAGCCATATTATCTACTCGAAACAAGAATAAGGTCATTTCACCAAGGCCCCAAGTCCGCGGTCTAAGCACGAGTTCGTTTGGTGGTTTCGGAAGCAAGACTCTCGCCGGCTCTCTTGGGTGCTGGCGACTGGCTCTTGTGCTCCTTTGTTCTAGGCCACGAGTCGAACGGACTCTTGCGGCCTGTGCCTTTCATGGGCGTATCCGCCAGCTTATTTGTCGAACGGGTTGTGCGTCTTGTGTCAGGAGGGGAAACGGGTGCATATTTTGGTGCTTCCGGGGTCTTTGCTGGAATCGAATGTGCTTTCATGGGTGTTTGGGGGACGTGTTCGTCAATCAGGTTCATGTCCTCCACGTCAGTCAAGGCTTCCTCATCATCCTCCGCAGTAGTCTTTTGCGTGGGGAAGAGGAGTCGAGGCTTCACAGAGGCACGGGTGAGGGGTCGGTTGAGCCGCGATTCGTCATCCTCGGCAGAGGCAGCAATCTCTTCAGATTGGTCCTGTTCAGAAAACTTGCGGAAGAACTTCTTGCCACGACTAAACCGCTTGTCAGCATCATTATTCCAAAAAAAAAAAAAAGAGAGAAAACAGGACAGATACAGAATAAAAGTTCAAAGACTTACAAGACATAAACTATACCATCCTCGCGACGAGCAGCCTCGTCTATTGACTGAGCACCCTCGCCAGGAATGCTAACTACTTTTCGCCGGCTTTGTCTCTTGCTTGGTTCGGCGGCCATGGCCGTGCTGCCATAAAACGGATTTGCTTCACTGTTGTCCTTCTCAGGGATACGGTCTTGCGAATCGGTGAAAATAGTGATGGGGTCCTCTTCTTCCTCGGCCGTGAAACTCTCCATCGTAACTCCGGAATATTTCTTAGATCGTCGCTTCCTAGGAGATGGCAAGACTTCTTCCTCAGACGAGAAGAGGTTTCGGGCAAAAGATTGAATGCTGGCCGCAGTCTTTTCATTTGGTGGCTTTTGAGGCGTCTTTGATGGCGTGGGCAGCATACCAGCGGATTGTGAAACCGAAGCCGTCGTCGAGCGTTGCACGCCTTTGTCTACATTGAGACCAAGCGCGACGGCAGCATTGGCAGTTCCTTCGGCAGTCAAAGATGAAGACACCTGACGGCGAGAGTCGAGAGCGGGGTGTGACCTCTTGCGAGGAGACGTCACTGGTGAAACCATGGGAGCGCCAGTTTGAGCGAGGCTCTTTTTCGCTGTTCGTGGGGAACCGGGTTGCTGACGGTGGGAAGCTCGAGGTGAAGGGGTTCGATTGGCGGCTCTTTGTGAAGACAGTCTTGCCGACTTGCGCGGAGGAGAGTAAGGTTCCCAGCTATCATGAAACCCTAGTTGAGGTGCAGGAGGAGTTCGGATAGTGCTGGGCGGTGAAGGCGTTTTGGCGCCGGCAGGTTCATTGGCGAAAGCCATTATTGAAAGGTGTATGCGGGCGTGAATGAGACACTAATGCGTATAGTGTTATGCGATCTGGCGCTCTGCCTTGGCTTTACTGCTCTGTTACGGTGTCTGGGGCATAGAAGCGGATGCCTGAGTAATGCCAGTCGTAGATAAAGCCTAGAGTTTAGGGTAATTTTCGGGCAGCGGCAAGGCAAGGTTAACAAGAGTGAAGAAATGCTAAACAATAAGGCCAATTAAACAAGCAAATCGATTAGGGGAAGTAGAACGCTGTGGGATCTTGACGGCAATGCGCACAGTTGGTGTTGTCGAAAATTAGTAAAGATGAAATGTGTTAAATGTATGGAGCATGGGAGGAGAAGGATTCGACATTCATGAGCTTAGACTGGATGTAAGTGGGAGGCTGGGACGGGAATGCGTCGTTGGTAACTGCGGGCACCAGCCCCCCTGCTTTCTGCGTCTCGCTGCTTCAAAGCCGCCCAGCCGTCGCCCATTTGCTGTGTGCCCTGGACTCTTTTAGCGCATGTGACTGGCCCTTGGCCTATAAGCCCACTAAAATCGACCTCACACGCGTCTCCCTACTTCGCTCGACGCGTCTGTTTCGCGCCACGGCTGGCCAATCAGGGCAAAGGGGTGGTCGACACTACAGATCAAAGCTTGTTTGGCACTTGATGGCTGCCCGACAGCCGCTATTTTGCTGCGACCTTGCCGTCGTCCGTGGCCTGATTTGCATTGTTATTTCATGTGGATTTACGGAGTACGGGCCCCTCAAACGAACCAGCAACGCCCCTCCACCACACAGTGACGCGCCGTATCATGTGCCGTCGTGCATCACGTCACTCCATGGTCATTCTCAACACACATAACAATTCTAGACCCTTGCCTCTGGCCACACTTCTTAGTTCTATTTCTTGTGATTATCTAATACCGCCTCTCTGCCCCGCGAAACATTCGGCACGTACACACCCACGAATCCATGGCGGACGACACCGAATACACCGAGTCTGATATCTGGGCATCGCCCTCCCACGATGCTCGTCCAAAAACCCCCAAAACCCCAAAGACTCCCAAAACCCCGACGGGTCCCCCTGCATCAGAGACTGTGAGCCGGGATGATTTATTGCGCAGAGAGTTGGAGGGTGTCAGAAGTGTCAATGAAGGCATTGAAGGCCTGTTAGGCACGCTGAATCGAGCGGGTGGCAATATGCAGGTGAGTTTGGAAGAAGACCTCGCTATTTTCTGGGTTCCTAATCCCATGATGCTAGGTTGTTGCTAAGACTGTCGCCAATGCGTCAACTTTATTGAACACGTGGACGAGAATACTATCGCAGACCGAACACAACCAGCGCCTAATCCTTCACCCCGGATGGAAAGGCGTGACCCAGGACTTGGCTGAACAAGAGGCTGAAGCGTTAGAAAAGCAGCGCGCTGCCGAGCGCAAGGCTGCAGAAGAAGAGCAAAGACGAGAGGAATTGCGCCGACGAAGAGAAGAGGAGGAGACTGCTAGAAGGTTAGCTCCCTCGACTTCTAGAGGTACACGGGGTTTAAGAAGGACTCGGAGCCGCGGAGGAATTGCTACTAGAAGTGGCACGACGGGAGGCCGTTTGCCCGAACCACCTACATCCAGCTCATCAAGAAGTCGCGGAACTTCAGGGATAGGCCGTGGGGTACGGTCAACGCGAGGTCGCACACGGGGGACAAGATGAAAGACGGTTTATGTTGTTCATGATGTGAATATGTACGTTATGCGTCACATGACGTTTTCAATATTGTTGGCATCCTAGATACCCGGTTTGAACTTTTAAATGAATTGCTTTATTTTGCTTTAAAAAAATGACTGAGCTTCATCATCCCACTCGTGTTGACCTTCTTGAGCTCTCTAACGCCACGGCTCTCATTCGCTTTACGCTTCTTCTCCTCTTCCAGTTTTCGCTTCTTCTCCTGACGAAGTGCATCTTCCTCTTCGTCCCCCATTCGCTTCCTCGAATAGTCAGCCGTTGAATTTGCGGCAACGGCTTCAGCACGCAGCTCTGCCAATTTAGCTCGATACTTGTCCAGCGGTGAGAAGTCGACTGAGCACATGTCTTGTTGGGACAGATGGCGCTTTAGTTGTTCTGTAGTAGCGGTGGGGATATATCGGGAGCAAATAAAATCAAAGGCGACGCGGAGTCTCTGCAGCGCAGTGACTTCCGCAGACGCTTGGATGGCAGTCATGGCGGCGTCTTCGGCTTGGCCATCTTCAACAAATGATGTTGCCGCAGTGGAAGGTTGTGACACGAACGATGAATTTGAGTCGGTCGTGACAGTTGTTGATTGAGACTGAGCGGAATCGGTAACAGGGGTAGAAACCTCGGATTCTGTTGCAACCTCGACGGCCGCTTGATTTTCGGAAACTTTAGCTGCCAAGTTGCTGCGATGTAACAGAATCGGTGCCTCTAATGCCCTCTTGACGAACTTCTCTTCCAAAGTAGGCGGCAGACCTCCATCGCTCATCCTCTTGGCCTTTTCAAGGATCGTAGCAACGAGTTTCTTCTCGCTGAGTCGGAACATCTTCTCGTCACCGGCCTCTACAGTGTCACAAATGATCTCCATTCTTGACTCAATAAGCGCTCTGGTCGCTTCCCATTGTAAAATTTCGGACAAGTGGGAGCTTTCCTCGGGGAGTTTGTCGAAGTGGTCGTCACTTGACAAAAAGAGCCTCTTCTTCTCATCCGAGCCCTTTTGCACCGTGGCATCGACCAATGACGGTAAAACCAGGAAGAGTGCATCTATTGTAGTTGCGACAAACATGTCGGAGGAAGATACTATGTCGACATGCGGGTCTGCTTCCTTGCTGTCTGTATCGCCGTCGCCCGAATCGGCTCTGGTCTCGATCAGCCAGCTTCGGGGTGCCGACTGGGGGGCTGAAATCTTTGTGAATTCGTGGATGCCGGTCTTGGGACAGACGAGATACCGAGATGGTTTGCCATTTCGCGGATGGGGCAATGTGACTATGCGTGCTTCTGGAGTTGCAGTCTTTGGTAAGATGAATATGCCCGGTGACGAGCCATCTCTGGGAGTGAGCGTGTATTTGGAGGCAAGACTGGCTGCTGGAGTGTCCGTCGACTCGCTCGCGGCTGGTTTGGTAGACCTCGTTCGCGGCATGGCCTTGGTTTCATGCGATCAACTGGGATCAATGGCGTAATAAGATGGAATGTTTCCAAAATTTTTAGGCCAAAGAAGACAGAGATCTATCAAAATATGTTTCCAAAATCCAATCCAAGGAAATCATGCGCCATTGATTATGTTTCGAAATAAAATGTGGTCATGGGTGGGAGTCTGAACGCGAGCAAGAAGCAGGGAGACGTTGGTGTAGACCTGGCCAGGTACCCGACAGGATGCATCAGGCTAGGTAACTTGCTACAGCCTCTAAGTACCTGGTAGGTACTCCGTACATGGCCAAATACTCCAGCGAGCAAACTGCAGAGTCGGGAGTGTCCCGGGGTAAGAAACGCGTCTGGTTCTGAGGCTGCAGGGATCTGGACGCGTAAAGCGTGTCACGAGAAAAGCCAAGTCCCAGTGCGCAAGTCTGGGAAAAGCCAGGAGCCGCAATGGCCCATTCGATGGGCCGCCGGCACTCAGCCTTCGATGTTACCCATACGCTAGCACACCTTATCGCGGAGCTTCATCATAATTTTCGATATCGACCTTTTTAGCTTTGACGGATGTAATTGCTTTCGTTTTGATACGCAGGCAGAGCCATTCCATTTGGACATTGAAAAAACAAGCCTGGAGCACTGCTCCAGCTCTATGGCTTGGGCCGCTCAACGGCCATAGCCGAGTGTACGGTTATGCGCCTTTGCTTGCCCCAGGCCTTTCGCTTCACTTCTGATATTTATTCGAAATCCCCTTTTCTTGCTGCCCAAAGGTTGCTACTGTGAGGTCACGCGATGGCACCGGGTGAGATTTCAATCCCAAATTAGACTGCTATGCGACTTCTGGACTGACGCATAGGTGCTGCAGATCCCGAGCCGCAATGGCCGCCTCGATCTCCTCACGAAGCCCTATTAAGCACACCTGGTGGACGTCAACGATATCGCGAGATGATGAACCGAACGTCACCGTCACCTTCGCCCATGAGAAGTGCTCGAGCATTGGCGGCTATTACTTCATCACCCGGCGCTGGTCTGGGCATTCAATCATCCGGAGGGGACGACGACGACGACGAAGACGAAGACGAGGAGACATTGCAGCTGAAGCTTCAAGAGATACAAGCAAAGTTGAAACTGAAAAGACTTCAAAATGCAAAGGCTAGGGAAAAAGCCGCCTCGCACAGAGACGGTGAAGCAGACGCTCAGTCAGACCCCGTTTTGCCCAGCCCAAATCGTCGTGCTCGCGCGCGCACACCAGGCGCGGATGAGAATGTACGACCGGCTTCCCAAAACCAGGTCACAGTGCCTGCATCACCTGTTCGAAAACTCCAATTCCTGCAACAACAAACGTCGCCAAGTAGGGTATTCTTGGGCATTGATAAGGGCTTGAAAGCCAAAGATGTCTCTCTCAAGCGCGCCCCGAGCCAGAAAGGAAACAAGCCGGGCACATCGTCCCAGACTGGAGGATACTTGAATCGATCCAGATCAGTGCACTCTTCTGCTTTATCACCAGAGACTGCGAGACCATTGAGCTTCAATGAGAGACTGGCCTCAGCACGGACGGAGGAGGCTGCTAGAGCGGAAAGGATTGATAGAATACAAAGAGCGCGCACCAATGCATTTAGCATTGGACAGGATGAGATGGAACGGTTCAAGAAGAGCGCAGTCGAGATTCCAGACGAACCGTTGCCTCCGCCGACATTTACTCGTGAAGAGATCTTGTCACAACACGCCCCGGCAGCTTCAAAGTTACCTCGAAGCAAGACTGCGCCAAGTCTTCACCAACCACGGCCAGATTCTCATAATTCAAATTTATCATCTTCAACTTTGGGGGCAAGCGCTACTGATGAGTCGTCAGGGACAGACGAAGCGTCCTTTGAGGTCTATTCCTGTTTCCATCTCTCAAAACGGATACTACCACACACTGTCGTTACCCGACATGTTTCCAAGAAGAAAATACTCAACATCAAGGACCTTTTAAGAGATGTAAAATCACCCGATTACGCTTTACCGGATGTGGAACAAGATATTGTGGTATTTGCTGTTGTGGCCCGCAAATCAGAGCCACGAGCACATAAGCCCACTGCAAATCAAAAACAAGAAGATCGAGGCAAATACCTCGTCATGACACTGACAGATTTAGATTTTGAGCTGGATCTCTTTCTATTCAATTCTGGGTTTACACGGTTCTGGAAACTAACCGAAGGTACTGTCGTTGCCATCCTTAACCCGAACATTATGCCTCCGCCGCCAGGGCGGCAAGACACTGGTCGTTTCAGTCTGGTCATCAACTCGGACGAAGACACGATATTAGAGATTGGCTCTGCTCGTGACTTGGGTTTCTGTCAGTCCGTGAAAAAGGACGGCGATCTCTGCGGCGCATGGGTGAATAAGAAGAAGACACATTTTTGTGAATTTCACTCCAATGAAGCCATTCGAAAGCAACGATCGTCGCGAGTAGAGGTCAACTCCAGTGGTTTTGGGGGGTGGGAGAAGCGGAGCAAATTTGGCTTTGGACAGAAGAAGGACGAGAAGAAAAAAGGTTCAAGCAACTACGACTGGGAGACCAGGACGCAGTGGTTTGCCGCGCGATCTCTTAGTGCAGCAGATCTGATTGATGGCAAAGATCGCGGTGCAGCCGACCGGAAAGAGAAAGCCGAGTCGGTCAAAAGAAGCCTGGAAGCAAAGGAAAAGGAGCGCGAGATGATGAAGAAGTTGGGCAAAATAGGCAACGCCGCAGGACGAGAATACATGGAGCGAGCCGGGCTCAAAGGAACCGCTGGCCAGAGCCCTGCGGCGACAAACCAGACCAACGGATCCGTTCCAGACCAGGAGGCCCAGTCTACGAAACGTGATGCCCTATCCTTGGGCCTAACCAGCAAAGACCGAACGATTCATCTCAGCCCCATCAAGCGCAAACGACCGGATAGCTCGCAGGCGAGTTCTGTTGTGGGCAGCACAAACTCATCCTCAACAGCCGCCGCATTCGGCTGGGGCTCCAACCTCCGAAACAAGTTGTCAAAAATGAAGGAAGGCGAGAAACTTCACAAAGGGGGGGATCCTCCGCCAGTGCGTAAAAAGACACGTTTTGTTACCGAGAAGGGCATCCGAGAAGCGGGCAGGGACAGTTTGGGTATGGATTTCTCAGAGAGACAGATTTCTCTCGATGATGACGACGATGAATTGATTATTGTATAACTTTGCATTTTGGGCGGCCCTTCAAAACAAAGCGGCATACGCGGCATAGGAGAGAAAGCATGTTTTTGCTTCTGGTAGCATTTATTGAGCAACGTGGGGTTTGGTTTAACTAGAATTGCTGAATAGCACGACTTATGACAGGTCACAGAATTGTTGTATGGGTTCTTGTTTCCAGCTGTTACTTGAAGACGGAAGCCCTGCTAGGTTGTGCAGATCCCTAAACAATGTTGGGTACTATTGGGCTGTATCGACTCTCACTGGCCAATGATTCCAATGACATGCAGAAGACATATTCGAAACCACGCAATGCGAGCTCGATGTAACCCTCGA